TGCAAGAATCTAAGACAATTCCAAAAGATTCATGATGGAAATTGCTATCCGCACCCAGACAAAGAACTATGGAATCTGAATGCAGATGGAAGCATACTATTTGCTTTCCTTTTCCTTTATTGTCTTGTTTTATTGCTTCATTTGCATGGTTCCTCCCATTAGTTCTAATTGTTCTTTACATCATGACTAATGGGAAATATGCTTAACTTGAACGTATATGTAGAGCCTATTTCAGATTGTATGCAGTCTGAGGGAAGGGGGAAGAAATGGGAGGGGGAGAAAATTGAAAACACAAAGTCTTATGGAAGTGAATGTTGAAAACTAAAAACAAATAAATTAAATAAAAAAGGAAAAGGAAAAAGAAAGTACATCCTAGGCATGGGGAAGTATGCAACGAAAAGAAGTCAAGATAGGAAAGGAAATGTGAGAAATAGGAAGGAGCCTGGGTTGACTCAGTCCTGGAGTGTGGTAAGGGAAGTAATGCCTAATAAGGTGAGAATGGTAGGTACAGGCCAGGTTATGAAGGCCTTTGAAAGCCAACTGGTAGAGCCTGTATTTGGTCTTCAAGGTAGTAAGGAGCCATTGGAGGAAGATCCAAGCTCCCCACTTGGGCACCCAAACCATTTCACACATCTGACTGAGGGACCACCACCATAAAGCCAGCAGTCTGCCAGCAGGCTCAGAGGCGAGAACAGAGCTAACTACCTGCTCCACCCGGAGGGATGATTCGCCCTGTAAAGGGTGAAGCAAATAGCAGGACTGAAGATCCAAGACCTCCTCCCTAGAGGAAGAATCCTATAGAAGGGTAGAATCCACCACAGCGACGTCACGTCAGATACAAACACTTCCACGAAGAAAGCTAGCCTTGTACGCCACACAGTTCCACCATTTCCTTTCTCTTAATTTCATCAAATGGCATCCAGCAAATCTCAGAGCCGTGTTGATATTGATTCCAAGTCCTACCAACATCATCAACCCCCTCCTCACCAAAATACACACCCTTTGTGCTTGGATGGAAAAACAATCTGGTGTGATGAAATCTGGTTGGAAACTTTGCTCATTGCAAGGAGGTGTTGCGTGGGGAAAGATCCACTCCTGTGTCTCTCGTTTATTCAGAAGTTTGCCTCTCGAACTGCACGTTTCCTCTAGCAAGCTCCCAGTGGAATCCAATGATGATACACACGATGTATTTTAAATTAAGTTGAAATGCAGTGACACATGGATGCTTAAGCAGTGTGTACTTTGCCTAGCAACATATTTTGGCAAGCTGTCATAAACAGCTACAGACATCCCTAAGTCCGGCAAAAACTGCAAAATCCCCAATGTACCCAAATCAGCAAGATTCAACCAGATAGAATTGTTCATTTTCTGAGCATTTATCCTCAAAGCAAAAGCAGAGTAAAAGAAAGGACCATTTTCTTTTCTCTCTCATTTCAAATACCATACAGATTATAGGGGTTAATGACAAAGTATTCATTCTTTGGATTCCTTTGGGGGAAAGAAATTACCATATAGATAAATGAATCTTATATTCCTTCTTAAAACTGTAAAGCTACAGTGTCATTGAATAAGCAAAATATGAGCCTTATGTCAACATTCACCCCTTTAGAGGAAAAAGCAGCAACAACAAAAAAAGCCCATTGGCATGTCTGATCACATTTTGGAAAAGAACAAGGCACTGGAGTGAAGCTAGAAAGATAGCTTTCTTCCTTCCAGTTTACCTTTGAGCTTTGTACTTATCAAAAGAATGGAAACTTGCCCAACATGATTTTTATTATTATTATTATTCTAAAATCTCAAAAAGGCTCCATAAATGTTGGATTACTCTATTAGTAAACCTCTGGAAGGAAACATTTCAAAAGGGGAATTGATAGTTCGACTTGCTCAGTCTGGGTACTAGCAGGGAAAATACATCCAAAATTGCTCTGTTAAAATAATTCTGCCTGTACCCCCTGCCACCTGCAACTCACTAACCTTAGGACATGTCATTTAAAGAAGTGGGAGATGGCTTAGTAATTTATCACACCTTGCTCTGGTCTTCCTTCCCCAAAGTATAGGAAAAATAATGGTCCTCCAAAAGCACGAATCTTGTCAGAGAAGGGGAGAAACATCTCTTCCCCAAAAAACAGCAGAGGAAATGACAGAAGGAGTGTTTTCAAGGACACTGACATTCCTCTTCACCTCCACACTGCTTCTCAGAATTTTTCCATCAGTTGGTCTCGGTACTGATGACTAACCCTCATCCATGCTGATCACCATCTTCTTTTCTCTTCAATCAGTACTAAAGATCCACAAAACCTGAGATGCCTACTCATGCCCTTGCTTCTAAGTCAGCGTGGGATCATCCAGGGCAGACAAACCAGCTAATCTGAAGCAGAAAGACATCCTAAGGGAGGTGTAGGAGGCTATGTGTGCCAGGCAAGTCAAATCATCACCACCACCACCCTTCAGACCCCGGTGGAGATAGCCCAGGTCCCTGACCCTCCCCAATGGGCAGGGAAGCCCAAGAACCTCCGAAATAGTATTGCCTCCCAGGAGATCAGTCCTGCTTCTAACCCAGCCTCCACTGCCATCATCCGGGAAAACGTCCCTTATGCAGATGTGATTTAGCAGCTGCTTCTGTAGGTGAGGCATCCCCTACCTCATCAGCAGCCACTAGTACTGAGAAGGTGCTCCCCACCAAAGTCTTTGGTGCTGTTAATTGGTTTAGCATCAGAAACTGATATGGTTTAATTCATGGAAATAACTTTAGAGAATCATCTGATTTATAGCTATACCCTAAGGCCAATAGGACACTTCTATCCGCATTGTAGCTGATCTGTCCTCTCTGTGTGGTCTCCTCATCTTAGAATGTTCTCTCTTTGAGAGCAGGAACTGTCTCAGTTCTTCTATTTGTATCCCAAGCATAAGGATTTGTGAATAATAAATGTTTAATTAGTTTTTCATTCGCTCATTTATAAACTTAGAACTGGAAGAGATCATAGAGGCAATCTAGTTCAATCTCCCCATTTTACAAATGAAGAAACTGAAACTCAAGTACAAGCCAAACCCAAATGCAGTGACTTGCCCAAGGTCACCTGGGCAGTAAGCATCAGAGTTAGGATTGGAACTCAGATCCCCTGACTCCAGGACCAGTCTTCTTTTCGCTGTACCATGGCCTTTAGCTTCTTCATTTAAATATCAGGTGCCTCTCCAATTAGACAGTACATTCCTTGTCATCAGGGAGCTTCCCATCTATTGTTGTAAGCCCGAAAAAGTAAAACCATTTGTGAACATAAGTAGGTAATCAATAAATGTGTAAGCCATATCTTCTTATTATATTTTATTTTTCCCCAATTACATGTTAAAATAATTTTTAACATTTTTTTTGTTTTGAGTTTCAAATTCTATCCCTCCCCTCCTCCCTCCCTGAGATGGTAAACAATCAGATATAAGCTACACATGTGCAATTATGTAAAACATTTCCCTATTAGTCATTTTCTAAAGAAGACTCAAAAGAAAAATGAAAGAAAGAAAGTGAAAAATAGCATGCTTCAGTCTGTATTCAATCAATATCCATTCTTTCTCTGGAGGCAGATAGCATGCTTCATCATTAGTACTTTGGGACTGTCTTGGATCATTGTATTACTGAGAACAGCTAAGTCATTCACAGTTCTTTATAGTACAATATTGCTGTTACAATATCCAATGTTCTCCTGGTTCTGCTCATTTTACTTTCTATCAGTTCATGTAAATCTTTCCAGGTTTTTCAGAAATCATCTGACTTGTCATTTCTTATAGCCCAGTAATATTTCATCACAATCATATACCACAGCTTGTTCAGCCATGCCACAACTGATGGGCATCCTCTCAATTTCCAATTCTTTGCCATCACATGAAGAGCTGCTATAAATATTGTTGTACAAATAGTTCCTTTCCCTTTTTTTAATCTCACTGGGATGCAGATCTAGCAGTGGTATTGCTGGATCAAAGGGTATGCACATTTTTATAGCCCTTTGAAGCCATGCCCTCTTATCTGTGAATTATTATTTCTCTCTGGTCCTCAAGGTAAATAATAATTTGAACATAAGAGAACATAGCTTGGGCTACAGGTTACAAATATTTAGTAGATGAATGAATGATCATCATTATCCTAATGCATAAGAGGTAATATAATACAGTGGCTAGAGCAATGACCATAAAGTCAGGAAGACTTGGATTCAAATCTTGTCTCTGATATTTACTAGCTATGTGACCTTGGGCAAGTCACAATCCCTCTGAACTACAGGAACCTGTGTAAGATTTATCTACTAAGTTTTACGTAGTCCATGATCTATGTTGGCAGAGGGAACTCAAAGATTATGGAAAATCTGAGATCTTTAATATATCTTGGTATAATAATAACATACATCTAGTATGTATATGTGTGTATATAGTATGTGTGTTTGTATATATATGCATGTGTGTATGTATATGTGTATGTGTTTGTGAACATATGTGTGTCACATTAAGGTGCTACCCAAATTTGTCCTAACACACCTGTAAATTAAGTAGGACTACAAGCATTATTGTCCCCATTTTATAGAAAAGGAAACTGAGGTACAGAGGATAAGTGAATTGTCCCCACAATCACACAGCAAAAAAGTTTCTGAGTCAGGCTCCTGACTCCGAGTGCAGTGCCTGTAAGTGAATATAGACAAAGGAAGGTTGGTTGGTTTAATGTGTTCTGCATTCAGAAAAATACACACATACACACCTTCATATACATACAATCCAGCACTTTCTAAGACAACTCAATTATTTTTCTAATTACCTTAGATTTGCTGTCAAGATATTGAAGGGAGTCAGTTGCCTTTTTTAATTAGATAATTTATTAAATGTTTAATATATACCAGGCACTGTAAATAGATAAATATATGGATCAATGAGAGAGGAGGAAGGAGACAGACAGACAGACAGACAGACAGAGGGGAGAGACAGACAGAGACATAGAGGATAGAAAGAGAGGAGAGGAAAGAGAGACAGAGAGAGAGAGAGAGAGAGAGAGAGAGAGAGAGAGAGAGAGAGAGAGAGAGAATATGGACCAGCTATGCCTCCTGAACTGCTTGGCTTTCTCCCATTAAAAAGTGGAAGTTCAGGCTAGCATATCCATTCCCTTGTCTATCCTTATTCAGCATTATTTCTTCTCCATGCTTATCCTAACTTTAAAAGTTTGCCTAGAATTAGGAAAATGTTGAACTGCTTCTGGAGAGATGCCTTTCATGTTTATCTGATTAGGCAATGCTCTTCCCCCTGAAACAAAAGGTTCTCTTGTAAATGAAGATTTAATTGTTACTCAAGGATAAAAATCATATTATTCACGAGTTACATAACTCATAAAAATGTCCCCTGTGCTTCCAATAAGACACAGCAAACTCAACATCTGCCTTCTGGGAGTAAGGAATCTAATAGCCTAGAGAAGATGGTGGCAGTAAATGGCGAGGAGTGGATGGTGGGAGAAACAAGATAATGCCCTCCTCCAAACTGGCATTCTCCCCCCCACCCGTTCCGCCCTGCCCCAACCACAAAACTCTCTTTGTACAGACCAATACAACTGACAGTGTCTGACGCTTTTGCTAATGAGAAAAAAAGATCAGTTATTTTCTCCAGTGGGAAACATGCCAGAAAACTTTTGACTTGGCATTGAATAGTGGAGGACAGTTCAAAGGAATAAGGAAACAGCAAATTGAATCTGTCCCTCTCCTTCAGAACTCAGTGTGATTTGGGGCTAGACTGAAGGCCGAGAGCCTAGCCTAGAGGTGGGGATGTTGGGCTTGAGAAGGCGCGTGGAGCTCGAAGATGCTTCTTGTTCAGTGGCCCTCTGGCAGACCGGGGAAATTCTAGGCTGGTTAGGTGTGGATGAGATGCAGCTCACAAATGCATCGCCATATTGCTGGAAGATGTGGGCTCCAATCCAACTCACATACTTCTTAGTTGTGTCAGCTTGAGTCTCAGTCTTCTCATCTGTCAAATGGGGAATTATTAAAGCACAACCCTCATAGGTTATCAGGGGGATCACTGAGCTAATGTTTCCAAAGGACTTCTGCAAACCGTAAAGAGCCACAAAAATGTAAGCTATCACCTCTACTCTCACCATCATCCCCATCATCACCATTATTATCATCATCAGTCAGTCATTAGGACTGGAGATGAATTAAGGACAGGACAAACATTATGTTTGTTTGTCTGAACCACACTGACCAGAAATGGACCAACTTCTGGGGCTAAGATCAACATAAACCAAACTGTTGGCCCTCGATATTCTTGCCCACCCCGAGCTTCCAGCAAAAGAGATGTCCTCAAGTTCTTAACGTAGGAGAACAGAAGCCTAATGTCCTCATTGCCCTTTTCCTCTTTCCATAATGTGAATCAGGAGGTGGGGGGGAAACATCAGACTCAGAAACACAAAATCAGCTCCGCAGCTATAAACCCGTCCTTGAGATTTCCACATTGGTCCTGGTTTCATGCTCGAGTCACTGACAGACCAATTTCCCAGTCACATAGCACAGAGTTGGAGGGGCCTTCCATGGATATGCTGGTAAAATGTATAACAATTGGCTCTCAGAAAAAAAAAATTGAACAGCCCACTTTTAAGTTTAATCAGCAGAATTAACATTTTCTCCATCATTTTCTTGTCTAGAAAATTGACATCCTAATAAATCAAGTCCTGACAGATAGCATCTGTCAATTTCTGAGGTTAAATGTTCTCATTGCAAATTTAACACCCAGCTCTTGTGAGCCATGTGGAGCTGACTCTAGCACGTCCCTGAGTCAATCCTACCCTGCAGGGCATGATTTGTTATATCGTACATTGTCAGAAGAGGAAATGCTTCCCTCTCTCAATGTAAGCCGCCATCTTCATGATTGGCCTGTTGTTCTCCATAAATTTCCTCTTATTTTCCTTACTGTTCCCTCAGTAGCTGGTTTGTTATTCCCTGCACAATACATCTCCTTCTGCCATGCTTTTGGATAGGCTGTGCCCCATGCCTGAAATTCTCTCTCCTTTCCATGGCCTCTTGGAACCCCTGGCTCCCTTCAAAGACCAGCTGAAATAGATCTTCAGACATAAAGCCTTAAATGATTCTCCCAATCCTTAATGCTTTCCCCTACCCAAAATTACATTGTATTTTCCTTGCGCTTTATACTTACTTACCTGTGTCTATGTAGTTTCTCCCCAGCAGAATATAAGCTTCTCGAGAGCAAGGAGTCAATCATTTTTGGCCTTTGTCTTTCCAGAATCTAGCACAGAGCTCGGCAGACAGTAGGTGCTTAATAGGTGCTTATTAAATTGAGTTGCGTTCTTAGAGGCTTAACACGCAACACCATGAAGAGTAACTGCACCACTATCGTTGGCAGTGGCGAGGGCACAGGAGTTGTTCAAACACATGGCCAGCAGGTCTTATTTGGGGCGGGGGAAGCCATAGCTAATAGTTCTTTGGGGACTACATGGCCCACCCCACTAATCCAAAACCAGTCAAGCCAGATGCTAGCACTGTGCAGGTTACGGGGGCTGCTCTGCTCCTGTCTTTTTGCTCTCCCCACCCCCACCCCTCTGTGAAGATGTTGGCCAGAATTCTTCAATGCTCAACCACATGCTGATGTTTCCATAGCATTCAGGTCTGATTGTAGCAGCAGCCTTAAGGACCATTGAGCGTTTGACAGATGGCCGAGAATTTGCAAGCCAGGCGCGTTGTGCAGAAAAGCATGGAAGTGAAGAGTCAATCAAAAGAGAACCAACATGCTGAGAAAGAAGCCTCCTGATTGGTATTCAGGCTACAGAACCAGGCAGCTTTTCCTTGCGAATTTTACTCGCCGCATCAGCGCCATTGACTCCACGGGCAGAAAATAACCAAGTGACTTGTGGCCAGCTAACTCCGTGCTCGATCAAGAAAATCATGTGGGAGAAGATGAGGGGCCATGATTTCCTTCAGAGCTGGCCCATGGTCCTAATGACCCTCACAGCGCTGGCAAATGGAACTTAATGAATGTGGAGTGGCAGGGCTCCCAGAGCAGGGTGGAGCGGGGACAGACAACCAACTCTTCCTTATTTAAGGATTTGCATGACTGCTAAACACGCAATCCTAGAAACGTTTGCTAGCTCTGCAGGAGAGGGAAAAAACAAATCAAAACTACATTAGTCTCGAACTACATTTGCTCTGTGGAGGTGGCCAAAGGAGAGGTGGAATACTTGGAAAGCTAGAGCCTTCGCCTCTGAGGTCATCTCCTATCAATTCTGTGTGGATCTGGTGTGTACCCATGGGTTTGTATTTCAGCCTCCCCAAGTAGAATGCAAGCTCTTTGAGGGCAGGGAGGTAGAACAGAAAGTAAAAGGGCCAATTTGTCTGCATCACGAAGCGCAGAAGGGGAAGTCATGTCCAATGAGACTAGAGAGAGGCTGGAAAAGCCATTGAATCCTAGAGGCTAAGTAGGAAGCCACTGGAGTGAATTCAGGAGGGGAATCACATGGTAACACAGGTGCTAAATATGAATAGGATGGACTGGAGTTGGCAGAGAGGAGTGGGGGAAGGACTTGGGGGAGGTGGGCTAAAGGGGAGGCCGCTGAAATAATCTAGGCAAAAGATGATGAGGTTGGAGCTGTGTGGAGTGAAGAGCTCGGATACAAGAAATGCTGTGAAAGCACCAATGGCAAGATTTGACCACTGATGAGTTAATGTGGGATGGGGGAGAGTAAGAGGTTAGGAGGATAGTATTGCTTTTGACAATAAAATGGAAGCTTGGACAAAGTAGCTCTTTCTTTCCTGAAGACCGTTGATGTTCAGTGGTGTCTGACTCTCTGTGACCCCATTTGGGGTTTTCTAGGCAGAGCTACCGGAATGATTTGCCATTTACTTCCCAAGCTTATTTTACAGATGAGGAAACTAAGGCAAACAGGGTGAAGTGACATGCCCTGGATCATGCAGCTAGTAAGTGTCAGAGGCCAAATTTGAATTGATGAGTCTTCCTGACTCCAGGCCCAGTGCCATATGCACTATGGTGCCACCTAACAGCCTTCCCTCAAGTTACCCGCTAGGTATTTTTAATCAATATCCTTTCTATATTTATATGAGTGCGCGTTGTCTCTCTCCTTAAAAAGTGAGCTCCTAGAGGGTAGGGACTATTTCATGTTTGTCCGTGTGTCCCCAGTGCTTATCACAGTGCCTGGCGCATAGAAAAGGCTTGACAGATGCTCATTGATTGAACAGAAATGTATTTGAAATCTCCTTTGTGCAAAGCACCATGTTAGGCTCTGGGCATCCAAAGACAAATGAAAAATAGTTCCTGCCTTCAAGAAGCTTGTACTTTGCTAGGATTTACAACATGCACCCAGAGAAGTCAATACAAAACATAAAAGAAGTCATAGCAAGTAGTCTGAAGAGAAGTTAGTGCTAATAACAGGAGGGAATCAGAAAGACCACACATATGGGGAGGTGCCCGAGATGGGCTTGGAAAAAAGCTCGGAATCCTATGAGCCCAAGGTGCCAAGGTGCACCTTGGAACATCATGTATGGGACAAAGGCAAGCACACCAGTTTCACTGGAATAGAAAGGATATGATGGGGAGCAGCTTGAAATAAGTTTTAAAAGATAAAAAGTGCTACCCAAAACAAAGGAGTCCATAGCAACAAAAGTTCTCCATGATGATTGTGGACATTTGGGCCCAGAGAAGGCTCTGGAGCTGGTGTAGAACAGGCTCCACTGGTCCAATCAATAAGTAAATCAACATGCATTTATTAAGTGCTTACTGTATCCTAGGTACCTGTATATACTATATCAGGGACATAGGTACAACGAATGTAATAATCCTTATTCTCAAGACACTTACAGCCTAATAAGGAAGACTCTATCTATCTGTCCATCTGTCTGCACACATACACACACACACACACACAGAGCAAATACAGAGTAATTAAATGTAAAGTAATTTGGGGGGGGGCACAGTAGAACCATATAAGAAGCATGAGACTTCATCTGATATTACCAGCCCTGGAATCCCTTAGGGATTGAGAAAGCCTGGCAAGATGGTACCATTCAGCCTGGGTAATCACTGGGCCCAGAAGTGGCACTGCGGACCAGAGATCTGACAGTGCCAACCCATCCTCAGGAGCTCTGAAGAATGAGGGTACAGAAGTGGTAACTGGTCACCACAGACATACCAGGACTCTTCAGTCAGTGACTATCCTGACATCAGATACTCTTGGGATCAAGAGAGGTCATTATATGGGTGGCCAGATGGGGAACAATAAATAGTAGAATGTACATATGTTATATAATATGCAACTCTGATATTTGATCAGCAGCTTAGTGGCATGGTTCATAGAGCACTAAGCCTGAAGTTAAGAAGACCTGAGTTCAAATCCTACTTCAGATACTTACTAGCTGTGTGACGCTCAGCAAGTCACTCCACCATTCTCCGCCTCAGTTTTCTCAACTATAAAATGGGGATGATAATAGCACCTCCCACCCAGGGTTAATGTGAAAATCAAATTAGACAATATTTTGTAAAGCACTTAGCACAGTATTGGGCATAAAGTAGGTGTTTAATAAATGTTTATTCCCTCCCCCCCTTCTTGTTATAAGCTATATACCTTCATGGGACCTATGCATGTTGTACAACATGCAAGCATACCAATGAATTCCTTGTAAATAATAGACATTGAATAAATTCTTGAAGACGATTCAGTCAAATGTATGTGCATGTGTACTGATAATAAAAATAATGATGACATTTATATAAAGCTTGAAAAATCAATTTACATATATCATTTGGCCCTCACAACAAGCCTGGAAGAATAAACTATAGATACAATTTTCCCCATTTCACTGATGAAAAAGCTAAACCAGAAGGAAGCAGAGGACTTACCTTCTAATAAGCCTGAGAGCTGGGATTCGAACCCTGGTTTCTCTTGGATCAATATCAAGCAGCTTTTCCTTACTATCATGCTGCCCAGCTATGCATCTGGGCTAACTGTCATATGACTCTCCCAGGCGTAAGCTAATATATGCTGCATTATCTGTCCCCAAAGCCTGAGCATAAACATCCAGTGCAGGTTGTAGGGACTGTATTGTTTTAACCTCAGTAAAGCATAAAACAGGGATGCATGATAGGAAAAAGACTACATTTCCCAGGATACCCGGGCTCAAAGCTAAAGCATTCATTAAAAGAGAACAAAGACTCCATTTCCTATGTGTCTGTTTGCCTGCTGTGCATTGATGAAGAGACCTCTGGGAAGATGGTGGAAAGAATGGAAGTCTTTGGTGGGTTTGTGACCACCACGTGGAGCACCATTCACTTTTGAGAAGAGTAGCTTCAATTGCAGGCTTTTTTTGTTCGTAGACTCCACTCAATGATTTCCTGAGTTCAGCAAATCAAGAAGGAAAAACATCCTGTTCATTTAAAAAGCTCATAAGCAGGGAAACCACCAATGTGTTGGGAAGCTAATTGCTGCACTGAAGCTATGGTGACCGAATAATTGGCTAGACACAAACCGAGGTCAATCCAAGCCAGGACACATCGGTCTGATGAGATTTAAGTTTCACCTTCCCTCTCAGAGAAAAGAATGAATGAATGAATGGTCTAAAGATGAGCTGTGAAGTTAAAGATATTTGTGGAGTACCATTTTCATACATTGAATATCACTTTTTAAAGGCTACTTGTTTTACTTTCTGTGAATTTCTGACTAAAACAACCATAATTTAAAATGGTTTTATATCTGCTTAGAACATCTTCCCATGTCTACAATCTCACCTTGCTAAGAATTCAGTTGTTTGGAAAAGTAAATGCAGATTCTAGCATGGGTTGTGAGCTTAAAAACTTACAACAACCTGTTGTATTTTTTTTTATAAGATGTTAACTTAGGGCACTATTTGAAACAGGAACAGAAACCATCTAAACTACAATTGCTTCTACAACGTGAGAGAGTTGGTCTTTATAGGTCCCTTCTGGCTCTTCTATCCTATGATTCCATGCCTCAGAGAAAATGTCTTTAAGATATAATGATGTGGATTCCCTGCTTATAAATGACTACAATTTGGAGAGTTCAGTATATACCAAAAGAAAACATGAATAAATTCCTCAATGTGATTAGGAAATCACACACAATGGAAGTGTTAATCTGCCAAGCAGGTCTACCATTTTAATGAAACTGTTTTCCTGATGGATACCCCGACAGGTGAAGGATAGCACTCAGCAATATTCACTATCAAAATGTTTTTGGTTTTTTTTTTTTTACTCAGGCTCAAATAGCATTAGTATTTCAATTTTTATCTACTTGAGTTCCAGGAGTGTTTCTCTAGTCCCTTACAAATATATATTACTATTGTTATACTCCTCTGACTTCCTTATCTTAGAAAATGAATTATCTTTATGAAAAACCCTATTTTATTATGAAATCCCTTTTATGTGCTTCACTGGCAACAGAACGAAGGTCTTCAGTTTCCCAGGCTGATAGTCTTTTCATCCTTGATTACACCATCCCTTTCCTGATGCCAGAACTTCCACATGCCTACGTTAGAATTCAGGGTCCTAACTATCAGATTTCTCCACATGGGTTTGCAAAAGATTTGTATACCTTTTATGGTTGGTGTGCTCTAGGAATTTGGATGAGGCTCAGGATTTGAAATTTGTTTCCATAAATTCAGAATGGATAGATGTTGCAAATGTTTTAACATGCAACAGTTAACTTGGAATTGGACGGATTTATGGTTGCTTTCATTCCCTTTATCCCTACAAATTGTTACGGAAGACAGTTGGGACAGTCAGCCAGAAGAAATCCCCAGAATCTTTTCCAGGGGAATACATCTTTCAAGTGCTGGAGGTCTTCTGACCAGAGATCATTTCAAACAAACACACATATTGTTTGAGTTTATATGGAACAAAAGTTTAGAACTGGATTAGCCATTAACTGATTCGATTCCAAATATTTGGCCCCTTTGGATAGAATAATTCTTAACGAGATAGCTCCAGCTTTGATTAAGACGTGACTGCAAGATACTGGTTATCCGGTCTCCTCATGACATTGCTATAAAAAATACTATAAATTTTTTTCGATTTTTAGTTAATAAATGACCTCAATATCAATAGCAGTGAGTTGTCACTGATCACTTTGAGACTGTCTATGGAGCTTGATTCCAAGTATAAATGGACTGCAATCCATCTTACTGAGCAGACCACTGATCCAATTTGGTACTGATATATGTTCCTACCATTGCTGAGTGCACACGAAAATGTTTTAAAGTAATCTTTTGATTTCCTTTCTTTTTTAAAAAAAGGAAAAACAAATCAGCCAGGTGCTTTTATTACGATGAGCATTGTTTGACCAGACCTAGGAATTTATCATTTTAAGGAGCTCCCAGTCAGGAACTTTTCCTACCAATGCAGATGGGCACCTTCTCTGAAAATTAGAGTCTTGGAGAGCTGCTTGGAACACAGACAGGTGAAGACACTTTGTTTATAGGCACATAACCGCACTTGAACGCAGATCTTCCTGACTCTAAGACCATCTTCCTATCCACTACACCATGACACCTCTCTTGTTATGAAAATTGTAGCTATTATTAATGTTAATAATAATAGTAACTGGTATTTCCTAGCATTTCAATTTTTTTCAAAGCTCCTTGTGGACCTCACCTCATTGGACCCTCAAAGCAACCCAGGGAGGTACGCAGCTAAGTAAATATCTAAGGCAGGATATGAACTCAGGTCTTCCTGCCTCTCTGTGCTGTATCACGTAGCTGCCTGTCACTGTTTGTGGGATACCTTTATGAACACAAGAGACTAATAGAGATGTCAGATGTTTTTACACTCTAGCTTCTTTGACTGAAAATAAACACGACTCTAATTGGTTCGTAAAAACAACAGCGTCAGTCATTCACTAATAATGTTTTGCATCAGTATAGTCCAGGACAGGGAAACACAAGGGAAAATGGAGTTGGGGGGGAAGGAAAGTTGGGTGGGGGGGTAAAGGAATAAGAGAAACCAGAGTCAAAGGCAGATGGGGATAGAATCTACAAGGTGGTGAAGGAGTTAGAAATCTCCCAGCCTTCTCCAAGTTCTGACAGAATGAGATTTTATAGTGAGGGAAGCCAGACCCTGAATACAGACTCCGGAAATGAATGAACTTTAGAGAAAGGGCGGCCTCACTCAGAAATAGGATCTGCCTTCTCTGTGTTGTGCTGCCCTGGACTGTCTATTTCACACATCTTGTTTCTGAAAAACAAAACACCATTTTCTGCATTATTCAGATTTTTAGAAACTGTTTCCTTCAGTCTCATAGTCCATACATGTCACTATTTCCTTGTGTGTCTTCTTGAAAGAAAAACAGCTTTAAAATAATTTGGGAAATTCTTTGTTGTCTCGCTTTGTTTTTCTGTACTGCCTTAGAATCTTGTACTCAAAAGGGTAGAAGGGAGGTCAGAGGTCATTTAGGCTGACTCAGACCATACTGTACCTAATGAGAGAACAAGCAGCCTTTCCTCAAAGGACTCCACTCAGGGAGGGAGGAGGTGGTAGGAAGACATAAGCATTTATTAAGCACCTACTGTGTACCAGGCACTGTGCTAGGCGCTTTACAAATCTCTCATTTGATCTGAGGGGGAACTGACCACTTCTATGACCCACTTTGGATCGTAGACTTAAAGATGGAAGGCAGTTCAAAGGTCATCTAGAGTCTCGATATGAAACCACCCACTTCATTTTATAAATAAGAAAAGTGAAACCCAGAGAGGTCGAGTGATTTTTCCAAGGTCACACAGTGACAGTACCAAGATTTGAACCCAGATCCTTTGCCTCCAGCCCTCTTCCCACGGAGCTCTACTGCTTCCCTTTTGGAGAGCTCCATAAACCTAAACTCGTCTGTGCAACCTCCCCCACATCGTGCCTGGTTCTGTGCCATGGGGCCAAGCTAAACAAGATTAATCCCTCTTCTTTAGTGCAGACTTTCACACACTTAAAGACATCTACCATGTCTTCTCCCCCACCTCCCCATCTGCAAAATTACTTCCTTCTCCAAGCTAGGTGTTCCATTGTCCCAGAGATCCCCTTCTGTTTCTGAGACTGTTACCTGTGGTGTTCAGGTTAAACACGGCAGGATGAATAGTCTGTCTATCTGTAGTTATAGCAGTCCCCCAGCACAGCACATTTAGAATTCAGAATCAGAAATTTAAAAAAACAAAAACAAAAATTTTCTGAGGGTGACAGATGAACAAATTGCCCAAGGACCCTGCTTTTTGTCTTTAGCACTTAGCATAGCGTATGGCACATAGTAGGCGCTTAACAAATACTTGTTGAACACTCTGCTGGGGGTCATGAGGAATAAAAAAGGTGGTAGAATGTCATTTGAGCCTTAATGAGTTTATAATCTAGTTGAGAAAATACGATACAAGTAAGGCAATTCGCAAACACTTCAATGCTAAGCACTCTGATACTCACCCTAAGGATAATAGGAGATCAGGTGATCACAGGCTGCCATATCAAGTTAGACTTTGGGGAGAAAGGAGAAATTATCCTGGGCTTTCTTAGATGAGTAGGTTTGCAGAGATTGAGAGAAAGAAGACCAGGGTTCCAAGGAGTGAAGAGATAGCCCAAGCAAATTAGCGTAGGTGGTTTAGAAGGTAAGAGAGCCTCAGGGGATTGAGTGATGCATATGGTATCTTACACTAGCTGGTGACCAAAAATACAGGGCTATGGGATTCACGAGACCCATTGCACCCCTACAGCTTGGCTTAAAAATTATTCTCATTTCATTAAAGGGGAAATAAACTAAAATATTCATAAGGAAACAAATATTTTGTACCTTCAGCAAAGGTCTGAGTTTCTCCCTTGGCTACCGAATCAGAACTAGGAGAGAGAATCTGTCTTCACATTTTAGTCGAAGAAGTGGTCAGTTTCCTGTGAGATGGGAGTGAGGGAAGGGAAAGTGGGAAGAAATCAAAAACACAATATTTGAATGAAAATACTTTTCCAGTTTTGCGTTGCACATGTAATATGATTTGAAATCAAAAGTCTTTCTGAAGTCAAGATACAGTACGTCTATTGTTTCGCCATCTCTTCCAGTCTTGTCACCTGTCACAAAAATAAATTAGATTAGGCTGATGAGATTCCATTCTTCACAAAGCATGTTAATTTCTGCCTCTCCCCTCCTGATCTTCGAGGAGCTCAAAAATTGATTTCCAATTCATTATAAACAGTCAAACAAAACTGACAAATAGAAAGAAAAAAAACCTCACAGTAATTACTTTGTTCATATGTTTCTGCTTTCCAGCTACTTTGTGAAGTTTGCAAAAGGTCGATTGGGTCATAAAAATGACCTTTGTGGAGGTAGGGCCCAAAAAAAAAAGGTTCACATATTTAATTTGCTTCTGAATGCTGTAGTCACAATAAGTCTCAGAAGCTGACTGGCTGCCATCTCAAACAAGGTACTCAATATTGTCGGTATGTTTCTGCTACCCCAAATCACAAGATTAATCATAAAAGTTATGGTGGTCGTACTGTAGGTGAATTTTTATAATGTGTGTGTGTAGGGATACAGACTTGTGATCCCATTGACATAAAGAGCTCATGGTGTGGAAATGCCCTCCACCAATACCAATCAGCAATTCATCTGTAATTTAAAATATTTGAGAGATTAAGTGATTTACCCAGGGTCACACACAAAATGTGTCACACTTGAACCCAGGTCTTCCTGTCTCCAAAGCTAGCTCTCTATCAATAACCAAATGCCTACCATGTGCCAAGGACCATGCTCGGCATTGGAAATGTGAACGGAAAAAGTTAAATGCTGCCTGTCCTCGAAGAGCTTACATTTTATTGGAAGAAACAACGCGAACATCTAAGTATATGCACAAAATTTTCACAAAGCAAATATTAGATAATTTCAGAGGGAAAATATGTATGCCATACCATGCTACCTCTCCTGTAGAATTATAATTATTACATTAATGAATCTTGATTGAACCTCTGGGTCCCTTGGAAAAACAAAGCTATTTGCACCCACACATAGACTATCAAATTACAGGCGTAAAATTCCTGAGGGAGAAAAAAAGGCAACAGATACGAAAGGAAAAGGGGAGAGGGAGAAAGCTCTGTTCCTTTGAGTTTACAAAGACCTGAAATTTTCAAATGACTCTGGTTACAGATAGCCCAGATGCTTAGGAAAGATTTGTTAAATTGTTGAATTGAATCAAACAGCCAGCCTACTAGGGCTTGTAGATTGCCATCACATATTTCTCAGAAAGATAATTTGTCCAATAGTAGATATTTCCACTGTTTTCCCACCATATACTGAGGAAATAAATTAAAAATTGTTTTAAGTTAATTGAAATGCATCTCTAAGAGCCCCAGAGTTCAAAGAAAGTACAACCAAACCCCAATTCACAGCATTTCTCTCTAGGGAAAGAAAATAGCTAGCAAAGTCTGTTTTCATCCATGGCTCGCTCCAAATAGCAGCTCTATAAAAATGATTTTCACATGGATTGAGCATAATTTGGAGAGGACAGAAGGTAGACATGGTTTTTTCCTTTAAATTGGCATTCCATTTCTGGTCTCTATTTCCTATAATGTTCGTCTGTGTTGATCAGGGACAGTCTCTAAGCTTGCTTATCACCACCATGACTCCATACAAAATAAACCCAAATCATTTGGAATATCTGACAGGTAATATTTAAAAATATCTATTTGGGCTGCAAAAATTAGATGGTTAAAGCACTTCCTCTGAATGTTAATGTACAGCTACTTTTCTTCCACATTCATTTCTCTATATATAAACTACTTAAATCACAGTATAATTAGGGAATGTTAGTAGAAAGAAGGAAAAGTGTTTTATCAATCCCTGTAAGCATAATTTGCATCAGCATCTGTTACAAAAAGAGTTTTAAACATTAACTTCAGAGCTTTGAAAATGGTAGGTCACTGGAATCAGGGTTTGAATACCATGAGGCCATGAGGCTAGGATCTTTGGAGGCTGAACCCTCAAGACCACTAATAATAATAATTATTATAATTATAATTAATAATAGCTAACATTTATATAGTACTTCCTATGTGCCAGGCATGGTGCTAAGTGCTTTACAAATATTATCTCATTTGATCTTCACAACAGTTCTAGGTGGAGGGTGCTGTTATTACCCCAGTTTACAGATAAGGAAACTGAGGTGAACAGATGTGAAGGGACTTGCCCAGCTAGTAAGTGTCTAAGACTGGATTTGAATTCAGGTCTTCCTAACTCCAGTCCCAGCACTCTATCCACTGTACCACCTAGCTGTCCCTTAAGAATTAAATAGCATCTGGACAGGGTGAAAAAATACATTTCAAGAGTTAGATGTTATCAATGCTAGAATTTTTAAAAAGTTGTAGTTACCTGTTCATAGAATTGTATTTTTATGGCTAGAAGGGACCTTAAGATTTTACAAATAAATGAACTGAGGTCCCAGCGGGGCTAAGTGACTTCCCCAGAAGCCCAGAGCCAGGTAGTATCTGAGGCTGGGTATGAGCACAGGTCTTCCTGACTCAGCGTTTGGTGCGACATCCACCATCCCAAACTGAGAGCTGGAAAGAACTCCCGTGGAAGTCATCTAGGCCCACCCCCTCAAACAACCAATCAGACCCTCATCAAGTGCTCACGTACAAAGAGAGAGGACAAGGAAGCCAAGAGAATTTCAGTGATTTGCCCAAGGTCAATAAAGGGAAGAATCAGGACTGGAACTCAAATCCTTTGATTGGAAATCCAACGCTCCTTCCACAAAACCACACCTCCAGGCAAAAGGTATTTGAGCCTTCAAGGCCACTGAGCCCACCCCACCCCTTTTATTTTTTGTTTTTGGTATGGCCGTGCAACAAGACAAGTAGGCATAAACATTCATTAATATTAACATAAATGATGTATTTGTACAGGATATGCAGTCAGAGTAAGATTTAATGATTGATAGACACCCAGCTACAATTAAGTACTTGTCTCACTAATAGTGGATCACCCTAAATCATTGCTTAGTCTAACTCAGGTTTTATCATCAGGATTGAGCAAAATTAGGAGGCAGCAAGAAGATGCATCGCCCTGAGAGAGTCCACCAACCTGGATCTGAGCCCTAAAGCCTTGAGCTTCCTGAGCTGGTGACTGAATGGAAGCCAAAGGCTGCCCTCCTCTCTGAGAATCACCATGGAAGCCACTTTCCTTTTCACCCATGCCCTTACCCCTAGACTACCAATGTGTGAGGGGATAGAGATATAATTTGAGCTTGACAGCCCTCTTGGAGATAGGCAAGCGAAGGTGTAAGAGCCCAGCTAGGGAGAGGGGTAGGTCAGGGAGACTGGAGAGCTATCTATCTATGTATGCATGGTGCCTGCCAGACACCATAGTCATACATCACTTGCAATGCGATCAGTAGATTTAGAACTGGCAAGAACCATAGAGGCCATTGAGTTGAACCATCTCACTTCATAGATGAAGAAACCAAGGGCTACAGAGAAGAAAGGACACTGCTCATTAGCAGAGCTGAAGCTTGACCCCTGTCCTCTAGCTCCCAATCCAGAGGTATTGATATTGCTCCAAATACCTCTCCAGAAAGGAAAGATCACACCCATTCGATGATTTACCAGTCCCAGAGTTGTTGACTGATCCAGGTTAGCAAAGTATGACCAAAAGGTCACAAGTGGGTTGGTGACTTTGAGGTCAAAAGTCAATGAGCATTAAGGGAAACTGGTAAAATATCCATCTTCAGTATTTCAATGTTGAGTAGCCATCCCTGAATCATCAAGAAGCATTTATTAAGCACCAGACTATGGGCAGCTAGGTGGTACAGTGGGTACAGCACCAGGCCTGTATACAGTCAAGAAGACTCCTCTTCCTGAGTTCAAATGTGACCTCAGACACTTCCTCGCTGTGTGACCCTGGGCAAGTCACTTCACCCTGTTTGCCTCCATTTCCTCATATGAAAATGAACTGGAGAAGGAAAGGACAAACCACTGCAGTGTCCTTGCCAAAAAAAATCCCAAATGGGGTCATAGAAAGTCGGACACAACTGAAAAACAACTGATGCACCAGATTAGGCACTGGGGATAAAACAGAAAAGTGAAACTATTCCTGCCCTCAGGGAGCTTACCCAATACAAGATGTTCTCAGATAAGTATATGTAAGAAATGGAAGGAAGGAGAGAGAGAGAGAGAGAGAGAGAGAGAGAGAGAGAAACAGACACATAGAGAAAGACAGAGAGAAAGAGAGAGTCATGTATGTTTTTAAGTACATGTGCATGAATATATCCATAGGGACACTAGCAAATGAGGAATCTGGAAAGGCTTTTTGTAGCAGGTGGTACCTGAGTTGAGCCCTGAGGAAGGGTAGGTTTTCCAAGAGGTAGAGGTTAAGACAGAGAACATTCCGGGCATAGGGACAGCGCATACAAAGGCAGAGATGGGAGATGGACTTTTGTATATGAGGGCAAGTAAACCTGTTTGTTTGGACTGCACAATGCATGAAAGGGAGTAGTATGTGTTAAGTCTGGACAGATTTAGATATGGCTGCTGTAGAAATAGACAAGTATAGATAGAATATTTAGAGCATTCTGAAATATTTATATTTGACATGTGCTATCACTGATTAATAATGCATACAATTCAGAATTATACAACGAATGAATAAACAAATTCTATATGTCCACCCACTTAAATGAATTCATTTAAATGATTGTAAGATCGATCCTCCATGTAAAATGGTGACTATCTTGGTCCTTGGGAATATTCCAAGCTACTTCAATGTAACTTAATGTCAGGAGATGGGGCCTAACTTACATCTTCATTTTGCCCCAATCTCTGTCTTTCTTACTCCCAGAGGAGTGAATCTGAACAGTCTTCTCCTCAGTCTCATTAGCCAGTCTGGGAAATGCCCTTGTGAGGATAAA